AATGACACTATTTAGTATCAAGTACGATTTTTCTAAAAATGCGGTATACTTTTGACACTCATTTGGGGGCAAATTGACCCCAAAAATTTGATCCTAGGGGCAGTGACATTTTGAACCACAAGTATTAATTTGACACTCAGGATTTTTTTTTTGGGTATGTGTACACTAGGGCGGTCCACATTTGTATGGAAATTTTTAAGGTCCTACTCTCACCCGCTTATGCGGTGCGTATTGTGGTATTCAAGGTATACCAAAAGACAATTTTTAAAAAAATCGTGTTTTAAGGTCTGCGAATTGGTTTCAAAGTTAATCACCCATACGCACTGTTGCTTTCGATCAAAAACTTTTTCTGATCAAGGTGGCATAGATATCAACAATTCGTTGATGTTTTGCTCTCCTTTTTTTTACCAATTATTCCAACGAAATTCATAATTTGACAAGACAAGAAATGGGAGAGCGATTTTTTTCGACCAAATTCGAACTGTTATACATGTCGTATGAGTAATTTTAAAGCAAACTTTGAAGACGTTTCGCAAGGTCTAAATCTCGAAAAAAAAAATTGTTTTCTTTTCACATACATTTTTTGCATACTTTAATATACCATGTTAAGGGGTGAGAAAAAAATTTCATTTTTTGGACCGCCCTAGTGTACACTGGTCGGCATAATTATTTTGACAGATTTTAAAGTTAAATCTACTCATATTTTGAACTTTTAATATAAACTTTTGGCACCTATAGAAAGAGTACTTTAATTCCGTTTATATGACACAAAAATGTTCTTAACCCATTAAGCAACCCTTTGAAAAGTTAGGACATTTTGTGAAAGTCAAATTTTCCACTTTTTTCCTGGGGCTTAAAACAAAAATGTTTTTCCCCAATCAAAATTAATAAAAACTGAAAAAAATTTCAAATTCTTTTTTTTTGTTTTTTTTTATGATTTTTTGAATGGAACGATCTCAGTAAAATTTCGTATGTAAAAGAGGAAAAAGCGGCTAAAATTTTAATTTTAAGCTATTTTCAAACAATCATAAAAAATGCAAGGAAAAATATTTTGAAATTTTTTTTGCAGTTATTATTAATTTTGATTGGGGAAAAACTTTGCATCAAAACTTTTTGTTTTAAGCCCCATGAAAAAGTTTAAAATTTGACCCTCTAATTTTCTAACTTTTCAAAGGGTGCTTAATGGGTTAAAAACATTGTTGTGTCATTTAAACGAAATTTAAGTGCTCTTTCTATAGGTGCCAAAATGTTTCTGTTATAAGTTTAAAATATGAGTAGATTTAAGCCTAGTACTCACTTCAATCAAAAAGGCAAGGAAACAAAAATTTCCATACAAAAATGACAGACGGAAAATTTCGTGATAAAAATTTTGTATGGAGATTTTCATTTCGTAGGCTTTTTGATTGAAGTGAGTACTAGGCCTTAACTTTAAAATCTGTCAAAATATTTATGCCGACCAGTGTACATTGTATTCTGTACATGTACAAATCTGTGTAGGACTGTTCCTTTTGGGACTTGTAAATACCTATGATAGAAATATGCATACACATAATATTTAGCAAAACCCCAAAATGCAACGAAGCGAAAAATGGCAGTGGCAAGCTCTGAATGTGTGCACGAACTTGCATCTGTATACACGTACATATGCACGGATGTTGTGTTTACGTATGTATGTGTCCAAACTACTGTACCAGAAAGTTTAGCCAAATCAAAAACAACAGCCAAATGAGTACGCACTCTCGAAAAAGCTCAAATTGTGAGTTTGTGTGAGAGTTTGAGAGATGGTTTGTGTGAGACAAAATATACAGTTATATCGGAATTGCACGCGTGCCAATATGTATACAATATCAAGCACACTGCATCCCCGCGAATATATTGTTTGACTTAAGTTTTGAAGTAATATGTATGTACGTACAGATTAAACTATGCCCCTTAATAACATTATTTCATGCTGTTACGATTTTGACACGATCCCAAAATTTGTTTATTAATTTTATATTTTTAATTTATCCAAAGATAAGCTTTTTAAAAAGTAAAATTGATTTATATACAATACAACTAATGTTTAATTTTTATGATTTTTGAGATAAAATAAATATTAATATTTCAAACGGCGAAAAATGTCCTTTTTATACCCTTGCAGAGGGTATTATAATTTTGGTCAGAAGTTTGTAACGCAGTTAAGGAGACGTTTCCGACTCCATAAAGTATATATATTCTTGATCAGGATCAATAGGGGAGTCGATATAGCCATGTTTATCTGCCCGTCTGTCCGTCTGTATGTCTGTTCTAATACCGTTTGCGAGCTCAGTTTAAAAGATAGGGACTTAAAACTTTCACAGTCATCCTAAAACTTGTGTACGCAGATCTAGTTTGAAAATCGATCCGATCGGACGTCTATATCCTATAGCTCCTATAGGAATAATCGTATATAACTTGATTATTGACATGAATATTACCAAATCGTATTTTTTTGTGCATACCTTGATCAGGGTAAAAGCGTGTTCCGATCGGACGTCTATATCCTATAGCCCCCATAGGAACAATAGGGTGAAAAATTTAAAAATTTTATTTTTTGAATTCCCAGCGAAGGCAAAAACCCTGATTTATAAGATTAAATACCTTTGAAATGTAAATGTCTATAAATAACTTCCATATAATTTAATATAACAAACTAAAAAAAATAAAAATAGCTAAAAAATTAATTAAAAAACCTACAACCTATTTTGTAGGTTATCTACTATTCTATAGGTAATCTACTATTTTTTGGAGACTTTTTTTTTTGTTGAGTTGGCGCAGCTTTTACTATTAAATAGTTGATTTTACATAATTTTTTTTGTGTGTACCGGGAAAAATAGTCAAAGCTTAAAAGGAAATAATGGGATCTAGGAAAATGATGGTAAAAACCTTAGAAATTTTTAGACGAAAATAAAAGATATTTACGGATCTTATTTGTTATAAATGCTATTGAATGTGGTCAAATTTCAAATTAGTATATCTCGGGAACGGCTTAGAGGAAAAACGCAGGGCAATTATTTTCTTAAATTTGTTTGGCCAAAAACTATGAATTTTAATTATTTGAAATTTTCCATAGCGGCTTTGGCAGTCTTCCTCCACCTATAAAACAAACTCAACTATCCAAGATTGTATATCTCATATAAAACTTAATTTACCCGAAGAAAAGTGTTTGTTCCTTTTCATAATTTCTAAGTTATCTTATTTGTTATGCGAATTTAAACTAAACGTTAAACTACGGCAACTCAAATGCTCTATTCAAAATTTTAGATTTGGCTTTACATTTCATTTCATTTTATTTCGTGTACGTAAATTTTTAATACCATAGGATTCCTTTATAGGCGCACACCGCGGGAGGTGGAACTTTTATCCTTGCCCAGCCAGGACTCCTATACATTTCATCATACCGGATTTATTTCATAACCGCAAGCGCCATCAAGGATAGCCGTTTTACCTTTATCAAGCGCTTGTGGGGTTTTCATCGTGCCTAATCTGCACCACGATCAACAGTTCGGATCAAGTCGGAATTCTGACAAATATCTCACCGGCGACGATTCGGCGCAAACCGCGCAGTTCTAATTCTGGTTCCAACTAATCTTAGACGGTGGTGCCAACTCGTTAGTTTTGTTTAATTCGCAATATTTCTAAGGTTAGTTTCAAATTCAATTTACGATTTCTATTCAGTCAATAATTTAGAGCGCTTACCGATAACATAATGTTAACAACCCATAATTTAACGTAACTTTAATATCCTTTTTTTCCTTTTGATAATCTTGTATTGAAACACATAGACGTAAGCAACGTTTAGTCTTAAGGTCTTAGTGTTAGTATTAAGAACTATGAACAATATTATCGTAGTTGCTGTATTAAAAATGAAGTTGAAGATGAATTAAGCTGTACTCTTTTGAGGTCACCTAAGAGAATGTAGCGCAGCAGTTGTTGGTAAGTGGTAAGAGTTGCAAAATAATTCATGTTACTAGCGATAATATCGAGGGTTTTGGCCCCGGTGACCTCCATTGATATTTTTTAGACTATCACGATAGAATTTCCTTACTAAGGATATGTGAATATCGTAACATTATTTTCTCAGCTCACATATTTTGTACGATTTACCCTAATGCTTACCAAGAAGCGATACTATCGATATTTACACCACAAAATATCAAAGCTATCGATGGCGCGTCTATCGACATAATAACAGGGTTGATTTGATTGAAAGAACCCAAATCACCCTACTTGATCTGACTTCTAAAATCAGCTGACAGATAGCCAATTTTGTTTTCTTGACAGAGAATATCTGTTCAAAAGGTGTTAGCTGGCTCTTGATAAACCGGATGAGATTGTTGGGCGTTGTACAATGCAGCTGAAAGTTAAAACATTAACATTATAGCACATCTTATAAAGTATCTACGATTTAAGATAAAGGTTTTGTGGAGCCAATTTAGTTTCGATCCCGACAAGTCGATATTCCGCTTGCAGGGTTTTTGTGAAATTTTTGTATTTCTCAAAAAATGCATACATGTATGTATGTACATATTCACATATTATTCACATATGAGTTGTGCGAGGGAATGTACATGTGCACACATAAGTGTACATATGTATCAATTTATTTTTACGTATTGTATTCTTTATATGCTGTGCGGTGCCCACCTATTCGTATTCGGATTCACGGATACGAAATACAAGCGCACAGACCCGATACCAAAATAAAAGATAAAAGACTAGTCGCTACGACTCGTTTTTTGTTCACATGCATATGTGCGGATGTATATACATACATATATGTATCTGCTTTACATATGTATTCCTGTGGTTTCGCTAGAGATGATGCTGTTTCTGTTTTCGCTTTCCACAGTGGATGTGGCAGATGGCAGAAAGAGAAAAGGAGAGAAGGAGAAGAGAATGACGAGCCGACCAACAAAAATAAGTTTGTTTGCATGTATTTATGTAGAGAATGTGCGAGTACATGGGCATGTACTCACGTTTCGCTCGACGGTTCAGGCACAGGATTAGTACAGGGGAATTCGTACGTAACAGTTACATTTCCATCGATATCGCGTTTGAAGCACTGCTCCTTAACATGGCTTCGCAGTATATTGCACATTTTGCATAATTTCAATTTCGTATGTACATGCAGACATATGTATGTGCACACATTGTCGTGTATGCATACATACACACGCACAGCAGAGTAGCTTAAGGATTGGCAACCGTTGCAATGGATTGGCACTCAACACCGTTTCACACCGTTTCGTTTCGCAGTTCGATTGGATTATATAGCACTGGATCGGACCATAACCCAGGAATCAAAACAGAACTCTGGATGAGATTTATGATAATTTTCCACTTTCTGCTCTGTCCATGCACGAACCGACACGAGTAAAGCCGCAAATAGAAAGATAGGAAAAAAGAGCTTTGGTGACTTATGGGCACTTGATCTGAGCTTTTTTCGGCCAGCCGACGTAGTGGATGCAATGCGTTACGTTTGCCTCTTACGTTTCGTTACGTGGGAACAAAACGGCACTTTGAGAAATACCCTAACGCGTTTATGTCGGTTCTGCTAAGTGCAATACTCAACTCCGAGTTCTTTAGATAGTTTATCAAATTGGACCAAACTAATGGCTTAATTTAAATACGCAGAAAAAGATATTTTTAGCAAAATGCGCAGATGGTCGATGTGATTCCACCAAAATTCAAGCACGGAATGGCACCTGGCTGCCCTGCAATGCGTTAAGGTATTTTGAATAACCTGTTCGGGACTCGATTCTCCCGTTCCGTTCTCTTCTTGTTTCGCCTCACGAATTTATAGTATCCGACGGATAAATAAAATGAGCGAGTGTCGATGTCAGTCGTAAGGCGCAGTGTGTGTGTGTGTCGCAGTTGTACGTATTTTATTCTTATTTCCACTTAGAAATGAAAAAGTGAAAATAATCCAAAATGATTAGTCAGTTTAAGGAAAAGAAGGCTACCCATTTGGTGCCAAGAAAACCCTTATGAAAACGTAATTTCTGTCGGGCTACTTGTGCTGTGCCAATATGTACACATGGAAAGCTTTATTCAAAGAATGGTCACTAATCGTATTTACAGAGTATTTCCCTAACTAATTACATAAACCTTTTGCCTTCTAATAATGACCGTTACACCGGGCTATGACCATTATGCTTAAGTATACTACGCAAAGCAGATAAATATGTATCCCAGAGCTGCGTCAGCTTAAGAAGTTTCGAATGTTCATAAATACACTTCAATAATATGCCCATGTGTGTGTGTGTAAAATAGCATTTACCCGTATTTAAGTAAGAACCTTGAACCTTTTTTGCCTTGTTTGGCGAATCAATTAAACGAAAACGAGAAGTGAACAGCTGATACACTTAAAACGCACACACAATGTAAACAAATACATTCTTTTACGCAGTAAAAGTATATCACATTATTTATGCTTCTTAAAAATACTTAACTACAATACTTTGGACCATAAACACATATGTATGTATATTGATTGCTTCCCTGGCGAAGAGTTACGTTTTATAGCCACATGTATGTAACGCACTGAAGGAAACAATAATGTACTTATGTTGGTATTCATTAAAAGTTTAATTTTCCCCAATATGAAATAGAGAACGATTTACATAAAATAAAAAGAAACAAGAGAGAACGCTATAGTCGGGTTGGTGTCCCGACTATTTAATACCCGTCACTCAGCTAAAGGGAGTGCGAAGGAGATAGCTATATAAATTTTGATTGCGTATAACTTTTTAATGAATGGTCCGATTTGAAAAATGTCTTCTACATTTCGATAGGTATAAATATACACAACAAAATTGCATTTATACTTCTCGGAAATCTTTAAAGATGTGGGCGCAGGACCCATTTTAAAATCGTTAGTGGGCGATTGTGGGCGTTAGAAGGGGCGTGGCGCTCGGCTAAAATAAACTTGCGCTGCGTAGGAAGCCAAAGAATATGTGTGGGAAATCTCAACCTTCTAGCTTTTGTAGTTTCTGAGATCTCGGCGTTCATACAGACGGACAGACGGACATGGCTAGATCGACTCGGCTAGTGCCCCTGATCAAGAATATATATACCTTATGGGGTCGAAAACGCTTCCTTCTAGCTGTTACATACTTTTGCACGAATCTAATATACCCTTTTACTCTACGAGTAACGGGTATAATTAAACCGCTAAATGTCCAGCCTAACGGAACAGAACAGACAGAAGGAGGATAGCTGGTCGAGAATACAATATTGTTTTAAGGCTCGTAATTGTATTTTTTATTGCGGTATAAGCTGCTAAAAAAATTATAATTCCCTCTGAAAAATCACAAAAAATATATATTTATAAAAAAGAAAGAAGTAATTTTAATGTTAAAAAAATTGGTACATTTAAGGAGCAGAAGTCCTCAGTGACTTAAAAATAATTTTTTGAATAAATTCAAGACCATCCCGCAGAAACCATTTTGAGTGAGCCACAAAGAAAAAGTACCCAGCCAGTGGTCAAACTGGTAAAAGGTTCATCTAGAAAAGTTTTTTCTCTCAAAATCGAAGAAAACTAAAAAAAAACCAAGACTATCTATACTATACCCCTATACCCCGACTATCAGATACCCGTTGTCTCGATGGATGCTATTGTTTTGAATTCGTTACGACTTCCAAGTTAAGCCTAGTACTCACTTCAATCAAAAAGGCAACGAAACGAAATATTCTATACAAAAATGACAGGCGAAAAATTTCGTGATCAAAATTTTATATGGAGATTTTCATTTCGTAGGCTTTTTGATTGAAGTGAGTACTAGGCCTTAAACTCCGTTTTCCAAAAAATTCCCCGACGCAAGGATTCTTATCACAAGAACCTTAAAGTTCGAAAAATGCTGAAATTGGCCAACTTTCCGGAGGATTTATGGTTTGTTTTGATGTTAAAGTTGTTTATCTTTGAAATCCCACACTCAAAACAATTTTAGGATATTTTTGACGGAGAGCATTCATTAGAGGCTTAGAAAGGGACAACTATATATGCTTTTTTTGGGATTTGTTTGGATAAGATGGCATGGTAACTTGGAATTTAAACGTTAAATTTAAACTTTTTAGTTCAAATAACTTTAACTGGTCAAATTATTAAGGTTAAAAACTGTAAAATTAATAGTGTGTATTGTCATGAAGTCAGATATTTTTTCCACGTTTTTAAAATGTTTAGGGCTGCTCCAAGAACATATGTAATTGTTTTAAATTTTATCATATCCCGCATTCATTTTTAAAATGACACTTTTTTATAAATTTAAAAACGCAGTTATGTCTTCATTTAGAAATATGAGCTTTATTTTTAGTTGGCAACGGAGTAATAAGTCCCTAAAATAAATGTTGTATTGTTCTTTTTTGTTTATGGCACCTTATTAGTCGCAAAAGATTTGACAATTCAACCAAAAAGCATCAAATTCATTTTTATTCTTGATCCCATTTCACAGTAGCTCTAATGAATGAGCAAAATTTTACTTTTTAGATTCAATTTTGCTCATTGCTCATCGGTCACCTGGACCGTATGGAGGCATATTAAAATACCAAAAAATATCAAAAGTGCCCATCGGTTTTTGCAATTTTGCTCATTGATTGCTCATTGCAGCCGATATCTATCTGTCTTGCTCGCACCTACGTAAAACTGTATAGGCTGAGAAAAAATTAAATTAATTGGTCTAATGAATGAGCCGAATAATGTAGTGGAATAACCGCATAAACTGAAAATTACTCCTTAAGGACTTTTACAAATTTGCCCAAAAGTATACTCTATGAAACTGATAATAAATAAACAGAACGTTCAAGTGTTTTACACACGTATTTTATATAATTTATAGAGCATACTTTTCGGCAAATTGGTAAATGTCCTTAAGGAGTAATTTTCCTTTGTTTATGGCTATGACGCAATTAATTTATTTCTCCCTTTTAAAAAAATCCTACAATTTTTCTGAGTATGGGGTTCGAAAGATAAAAAGTGTCTATTAAAAAAATTTAACATAAAAAGAAAGCATGAATTTGTTTTCCTGTGATACCTCCGGAAAGTTAGCCAGTTTCAGTATTTTTCGAACTTTGAGGTCCTTGTGCTAAGAATCCTTGCGTTGGGGAACTTTTTGGAAATCGCAGTTTATCTTGGGAATTCGTAAAGAATTCAAAACTATAGCATCCTTCGAGGTAAATTTTGATGTTGTATAGTTTAATAGAAGTGCAAAGGAAAAGGAGATATGCATGCATAACTTTTTAATGAATGGTCCGATTTGAAGAATTTCTTCTACATTTTGATAGGTATAATCAAACACAACAAAATTGCATTTATACTTTTCCGAATTCATTATACGTAATAGTGTTTTTGTGTCTAGTGCATTAATTTACAAGGAAATCCTTGTAGCACCAGGAAATAAGAAAGAAATAAATAAATAAATCTTCAAAGATGTGGGAGCCATATACCTTTTAAAATTATTTCAGGCGATTGTGGGCGTTAGAAGGGGCGTGACGCTCGCCTTAAACAAGCTTGCGCTGCGTAGTTAGCCCAAGAAAAAGTGTGTTTAATCCCAACTTTCTAGATTTTGAAGTTTCCGAGATCTCAGCGTTCATACAGCGTTCATAGAATATGGCGATGGCGATTTTTTAGAAAGGAATTTTCTAAAATTAAGGAAAAATGTTTTGAAAAGCAGAAATACTTTTCTAAAATTTTTCCTAAAATCCAGAAAGTATTTTCCGTGACAATGAATTGTTTTCTTAAAATAAGAAAGAAAAAGAAAAGACAAAACAAAAATAAAATGATTAACATCTATATTAAGTATTTAATATATTATTATTAATATTTATTTACTTAATGCCAAATTATCAACAAATACCTGAAATTGAAATTATTACTGCAATCGAAAATAAAAATGAATATTAGAGAAGGATGGTATTTGCGGTGTGCAATATTATGGGAGAGGTCTGTAGGTTGGTACACCTGTTGTTATCGATCTGTCATTTCGACATTCACTTATGAAACTTCACGCACTAGGTTCTGATCAAAAGGTTAGTCTATTAGCTTTAAAAAAAAACAAAACATATTTTTTGTCCTTAGAAAAACTAAAAAAACGACATTTTGATAAAGAGGTCTGTAAGTTATGACAAGTCAATAAAACTCACTCTAAATGTAGGGGAGAGTGGGGGAATTTCGTCAGCATTTTTTCAAAGCTATTTTTTGTCCATCTTGAGACACAACCTATCATATTTCTATTTTTATTGTTGAATGCGGTTAGCACCAAGCTTTAAAATGTGACATTCCCCTATTTTTTTAATTAGCTTGGTGATTTATAAAAAAATAAAATGTAAAACCAATATACTGGGGCAATCTCACCACACAGGGGGGTAAAATCACCACACAACTGGGGAAATTTCGTCACCTGAAAAATGTAGGGAGTTTAACGCCTGAAAATATGCTACACTGATCAAGCGTACCATTTTTGTTGACGTCCTATATTTGTTGCTGCTGCTGGTAGTCTGTTCGTTAGCCAGCTCGTCAAATATAAAAATATGTATTTAAAAAAGGTGCGAATTTACCCTTAGCGTAGGGTGGCGAAATTTCCCCAGACCGTACTTTTTTAGAAATAATTATTTTCCTTGCGAAATTAGGCGCAAAGTTAAAAATCACTGACGCAGAAATGCACATTATAGCACTGTGTATTATATAAAAAATCGTGTATCTTATTCCTTTTGAATTGTGGCATACAGAAAAAATTTCGTCGAGAACTAAATGTAGCTTTTGAACTGTTAAAACACATTTAATATTATAGCTTAATTATCTTGGCCTTCTGTGCAAAACAAATGCATTGGTTGTGTCTGGCCGTCTTGAAGGACTAAAACAAAAAAATTATATATTTTTACGACTTATGGATTCCGAGATATTGCAGGTGACGAAATTGCCCCTGTGACGAAATTCCCCCACTCTCCCCTACTTCAAACTTTTAGAAACAATTTATTTGTTTATTTAATCAATTTCAGTTCGTTTTAACTTATTTCCAGTCCATTTTTAATTAACTTAGACTAAACTAAAAGGCTCATTGAACGATCACATTTTCCCAAATTTAAAAAAATGTACTATGCAGAAAGCGACCTCTGTCGGTCTGAGGCTATTTTGTATGCAAAACGGGTGTCCCAACTTACACGCTCAAAGTGTTCCAACTTACACACACAAAATTAATACCTTTTTTCTGACAGTAAAATTTTTTTATTAAAAGTTTAAATACTTATGTTTTAGGCATTTTACCAATTTAATTTAAGCCCATTATTAATTTTTTATAGAATTTTGAAAAAAGTAGACAAAAACTTTTTTGGTGAAAAATGATACACGACTCTTTTTTTCATAAAAGTTTTGTTACTAAAAAAAACTTAAAATAAATACAAAATAAATTTTTTAGTGGAAAAGTTCTGAGAAAGTCGGGTGTTCCAATAGACCGTACCAACCTACAGACCTCTCCCCTATTAATAACCAAATCTATTAAAATAGTATGCCCTTTGCTTACCATACATTTTCACACACTTACCAAATTTATATTTCAATTTTTTTCAATTGCTCACCTATAAATGGCATATTTGAGGGATCGACTTTAACTTTCTTAAATAGGCTCAACACAAACTTATTACTTTGAATGCTCACCTAAAACTGCACAAGTGTTCAAGATGCAGCGCATCGCAGGCAACTTTCTCGCGAGAGAGTATCTATGGTGATTTTCTAATTCTACTTTTCTGTTTTCAAGAAATTTTTTTTTTATTTAGAAAAATTCTGTAAGTTTAAAAAAATTTACCGTGGTTTTATTTTTCTAGATTCTAGGAAGGCCTGAAGTACATTTTTTCATAATTTAATGGAGAATTCGCCATTAATTTAATAAAAATGTTGCAGAGCCAACTAGGAAAAAAAAAACCATTGATTAAAAGAAAAAAATCATTTTTCTAAATTTAAGAAAAGTTTTTCATAAAAGTCTGTTTCTATGGTATTTTTTTCTAGATTCAAGAAAACAATTTCTAAAATTCGGAAATTTTTAAATTTTTTAAAATTAAGAAAAAATTATATTTTATAGCGATTTTCTAAAATTAAGGAATAAACAATTTACTCGTAGAGTAAAAGGGTATATTGTATTCGTGCAAAAGTATGTAACAGCTAGAAGGAAGCGTTTCCGACCCCATAAAGTATATATATCTTGATCAGGGTCACTAGTCGAGTCGATCTAGCCATGTCCGTCTGTCTGTCTGTATGAACGATGAGATCTCGAAAACTACAAAAGCTAGAAGGTTGAGATTTCCCACACATATTCTTGGGCTTCCTTCGCAGCGCAAGTTTATTTCAGCCAATCGCCACGCCTCTTTTAACGCCCACAATCGCCCACTATCGATTTTAAAATGTGTTTGGCGCCCACAAACTTAAAGATATATGATAAGTAAAAATGCAATTTTGTTGTGTATATTTATAGTATAAATAAATAATAAATAATAATAATAAATTTTATACCTATCAAAATGTAGAAGACATTTTTCAAATCGGACCATTCATTAAAAAGTTATGCGCAATCAAAAAATTTTATATATCCATCTCCCTCGCACGCCCTTTAGCTGAGTGACGGGTATTAGATAGTCTGGACACCAACCCGACTATAGCGTTCTCTCTTGTTTTATTTATTTTCTGCCTAAGTATTGGGTGGTAGAACAAACGTTTCTCAGCAAAACTTGGTTACTAAGAAAAAAACCTTTTTTAGAAGCCTATTTCACAATATTGATACTACTTACAGGCAATTAAACTGATTACTTTCATTTTGAAAATGGCCAAAAAGTTTTAAAAAATAAGAACTTTAAAATGGGATAAGACAAATTTTAACTTAAATGGCTTCACCGTTCTCCCCAGCTCTAACTTCACAAATTTTTAGAAAAAATAACTTTTTCGTCACTAGCTGTTTTTTATTTTAAAGTATTGAACGTAAGAGTAACTATTTTATTGGTCAAATTGACAATTTTGTAGTGGGATCATTAAACAATTATATTGGACAACTTGTCCAATGGATTTATTTGTGTGCACTAGAAGCGCAGAGAAGTTTTTTGTTTTGCGCTTTTAAATTATATCTGGTCTTAGTCTTAGTCTAATTTATATTCTATTCAACACAGGAGAATGTTGTTTGGCGGTTAAAATGACTGGTACCATGTCTAACTAGAAGGCGACGGATTGAGACGCAAGAGTAGAGGCACTCATTTCCAACGTGCTTAGAGGGAAAGGAGAGGTCCGCAACTGTTTACCAAGCTCCGAAATTGTATATATACTGGTCGTGATGTCCGATTTGGGGAGCGGAGATGAAGGCATCTCAGGATCAAGTAAGTAATATGTTTATACGGTTACCAATAAACATACATCGCTATATATTATTTCAGAATATAATGTCGCAAACATTGAGGGTTCCTCAAGTAGGAACGATTTTGATTCATCTGTAAAAGGTATAAAGTTGACAGATTATTAGCTCAAGGTTGAATTACATTTACTCCTTTGTCTATCTTTTCAGGTGGAAGCGGGGTGGAGCAGGAATTGGCTACCAAAATGCTTCAAATACAATCTAAACGATTTTATTTGGATGTAAAACAAAATCGGAGAGGTCGTTTTATAAAAGTTGCAGAGGTAAATCAAATGACTATCTAAAATTTGTTTAGTTTAATGTTAATATAAAACTCGTATTTTATATTTCGAGTGCTGGAATAAATATCAACATAAAATATATAAAATAGGGTTTATTATCTTATAATTTAAAAAATCATTATTATAACATTATATTTAAAAATGTAGAACTACAATTTTAATTAATTTTAGTTTTTAATGCATTTTTTTATTTCAGATTGGTGCCGATGGCAGACGAAGCCAAATTTATTTGGCTCTTTCAACTGCAGCCGAATTTCGTGATCATTTGTCGTCTTTCAGTGATTACTATGCTTCGCTAGGTAATTATAGACTCGAATAAAATATCTTTAAGAAGGAATACATATATGGGTAATTCTCTGCTGTTGCACGTGACATTCGTACGTTCTGGGATTTCTTTTATTTTGACACTAGACTCAAATTAAAGCTCTTGACTAGCACTTAATGTGCTAAGGCTGACTTTCAGCCTATACTTGTTTTTAAGATATATAGGGGAGAGATCTGTAGGTTGAGACGGTCTGTAAGTTGAGGCACTCAGTTTTCTCAAAACTTATCCACTAAAAAAATTGTTTTTATTTTTTTTTGTAGTCCCTTTTTAGTGATAAAACTTTTGGGGAACATTTTTTCCCGAAACATCCCATTTGGTTAAAGTTGGGACACTTTGAGCGTGTAAGTTGAGACACCCGTTTTTCATACAAAAAGGCCTTAGGCCAACAAAGGTCGCTTTCTGCCTAGTACATTTCTTTGATATTAGGGGAAAAGTGAATGTTCAAAGAGCCTTTTGATTTTAATTGTTATTTGGTCTAAGTTCTTAAAAAATGGATGGGAAATAATTTAGGACGAACTAAAATTGATTAAATTAACATAAATAAATAGTTCCTTATAGTTTGGAGTACTTTTTGTGTGAGTATTATTGACTTTTAAAAGTGTCTCAACTTACAGACCTCTTTTTCAAAATGTCTTTTTTTGGGACTTTTCAAAAAAAATAATTTTTCAGTTTTCCCTAAGGAAAAAAAATATTTTTTTTTGTTTTTTTTAAGCTAATAGACTAACCTTTCGATCAGTACCAAATGCGTAAAGTTTAACAAGTGAATGTCGAAATGGCAGATTAAAAACAAAAGGTGTACCAACCTACAGACCTCTCCCCTACAAAAACCAAGCATTTCGAACGTGACAAAAATAGAAGTCACTTTTATGACACCAGCTTTTTAATGTTGCGAAACGTGAAGGAATACTTAAATGCATTTAATTTTATAGTGTTCCTTATCAAGGTGAATTACCTTAAGAATGTTTTTTTTTCGACATGGCTAGATCGATAAGGTTCGTCTAGTGATGCTGATCAAGAATATATATACTTTATGGGGTCAGAAATCATGCAACTGCATTGCAAACTTCTGACTGAAATCATATTACCCTCTGCAAGGGTATACAAATAATAAACTTACAACAATGTGGACCTCCGCGTCAAAGAGCTATAACCGCATTTTTAATAGCAAAGAAAGGTTAGAAAAAAACAACAACAAATGTGCCCCATTTAAAATCAAAGGATTATAGTCCAAAAAGTCCAAAAAAATTTAATAAAAATTTTCTCTTGTATATGGTAATACCGTTAACAGCGAAAGTAAGTTTCGTGCTGTTATGACCCCAGTACTGTAGACTAGTTTAAAAAGTATGTTGACATTTTGTAGTATTTGGCAAGGCAAATTAAAAATAATATATTTTTTTATAATTATCCAATTATAAAACAAGCGTTTCGGTCCCCATAAAGTACATATAATCTTGATCAGGGTCACTAGCCGAGTCGATCTAGCCATGTCCGTCTGTCTGTCTGTCTGTCCGTATGAACGCTGAGGTCTCGGAAACTACAAAAGCTAGAAGGTTAAGATTTTTCACACATATTCTTGGGCTTCCTACGCAGCGCACGTTTATTTCAGCCGAGCGCCACGCTCCCTCTAACGCCCACAATCGCCCACTAACGATTTTAAAATGTGTCTGGCGCCCACACCTTTAAAGATTTCCGAAAAGTATAAATGCAATTTTGTTGTGTATATTTATACCTATCGAAATGTAAAAGACATTTTTCAAATCGGAGCATTCATTAAAAAGTTATGCGCAGTCAAAAAAATGTTATATATTCATCTCCCTCGCACTCCCCTTAGCTGAGTGACGGGTATTAGATAGTCGGGACACTAACCCTACTATAGCGTTCTCTCTATAGTGGAGAAGTGGACTCTTTCTTGTAAAAATTTCCTTTCAAGAAATTTTATTTCTTTTTATACCCTTGCAGAGGGTATTATAATTTCAGTCAGATGTTTGCAACGCAGTGAAGGAGACGTTTCCGACCACATAAAGTACTAGCGCCTTAATTTATAAGTATGCTACATGCTTGTAGCGCTGGGATAGAAACAATCAAATAAATAAAAAAAAAAAAAATAACGAATCGAATATATATTCTTGATCAGCATCAATAGCCGAGTCCATCTAGCCATGTCCGTCTGTCCGTTTCTATGCGAACTAGTCCCTCAGTTTTAAAGCTATCGCGATGACTATATCTTATGGCTGCCATGGGAATAATTAACAAAATAATAGAAAAAACTTTATAGAAAGTAGGCTTTTTGATTTTTGACAATGTAAAAACAACATTTTAGGTAGGCATACCTGCAAGGGTATATAAACTTCGGCTGGCCGAAGTTAACTTCCTTTCTTTTTTTTTTTTTTTTTTGACTATTAAGTTACTTTCTAGGGTCATTTCTTTCATTTATTCAATGGCGATTTTGCCATTAAATACGTAAAAATTGTTTTGGCTGCGACGGTAAAAAAAACATATTGGATTTTCATTTTTCTAATTTCAAGAAGAATTCTTTCTTGAATTTTCCTCATCTAGAAAGGTTTTCTATATTCAAAGTCAAATTTTCTAACTAACTAAAACAAGATCTTTTTTCTATTTTCAAAGGTAGGCCGATTTAATGGCGAGATTTCTAAAATTTAGAAATTAATTTTTATGAGTGTAGAGTAAAAGTGTATATTGTATTCGTGCAAGAGTATGTAACAGCTAGAAGGAAGTATTTCCGACTCTAAAGTAAATATATTCTTCGATCTAGCCATGCCTGTCTGTCCGTCTGTCTGTCCGTATGAACGCTGAGATCTCGAAAACTACAAAAGCTAGAAAGTTGGGATCAACCACACAAATATCCTTTTCTTCCTACGCAGCGCAAGTTTGTTTCAGCCCACAATCTCCCTAAGCGATTCTGGCGCCCACACCTTTAAAGATTTCGGAAAAGTAAGAAATTTTTCAAATCGGACCATTTGTTACTAAGTTATGCCCGATCAAAGTTGTATATCTCAATCTCCCTCGCACTCCCTCAAGCTGAGTTACGGGTGTTTGATAGTCGGGGCACCCGACTAAAGCGTGCTCTCTTGTTATACCCGTTACTCGTAGAGTAAAAGGGTATATTGTATTCGTGCAAAAGTATGTAACAGCTAAAAGGAAGCGTTTCCGACCCCATAAAGCATATATATTCTTGATCAGGATCACCAGCCGAGTCGATCTAGCCATGTCCGTCTGTCCGTCTGGATGAACGCTGAGATCTCGGAAACTACAAAAGCTAGAAGGTTGGGATTTCCCACAGATATTCTTGGGCTTCCTACGCAGCGCAAGTTTATTTTATCAAGGTGCCACGCCCCCTCTAACGCCCAAAAACCGCAAAAAGCCGTGGCGCCCACAGTTTTCTGTATAAACAGTCCCAATTCCGTGCCATAGATGGCGCAGTCGCCGCGTGTTCAACACTCCAGCTGGTGCTGGAAAAAAGCTGGTCACTCTAATTTGGAATACATTTTGCATTCGCCTAAATTATTTGAAATGAGGCGCGCAAAAAACATTCAAGAAGGCATATCTATATTAAAGTTGTTAAGCTGAGTAAGGGGTATTTAATAGTCGAGGAACTCGAATATAGCGTTCTCTCTTGTTTTAAATTTTGGACATTCTTTTTGGCATTATTTCCAAACTAACTAAGCTATTTTTGAGTTAATATAGTAAATTATTAATAAAAAGCTGGTCAAAACACAGGCCCCCCAAACACTGACAATTTACCAGAGGATGGTAAATTGAAATCTGAGATGATGATAAAAGATTATAGAAGATATTACTTGGACTTAAAGGAAAATGCGCGTGGACGATTTTTACGGGTAAAGTTTTTTATTTAAAAATATTTGTCTTGCTCAACGATTTATTGTTATTTTAGGTGTCGCAAACCATTACAAGAGGTGGGCCTAGATCTCAAATCGCTCTACCAGCTCAAGGCATGATTGAGTTTCGTGATGCTCTAACCGATTTGTTAGAAGAGTTTGGAGCAAACGATGGAGGGTAAATTATAATATATAAAATTTCAATTATACTCATGCAGATTAATAGATTAATAACAGATAAATTATACTTTAGATATTATAAGTACAATAACTAAAGTTCGTCCCGTTTTAGCAAAATGTTTTAATTTTCTACCTATTGTTGCGTGCCAATTGAATAAATTTTAAATATCCCATTTATTAAGTCAAATGTAAAACTATTATTCATCACAAAAGTTGATATCAAAACTTTTGTGTGAAGGTGCGATCGACACTATTTTTTTCCTCGTTAAGATTTTTTTTGTTTAATATCAAAACTTTTGGTTTTACACTTTTGCTGTTATAGGAGGAAATAAATTATTTATTTTACAATTGGTATGTTTTTCGAAATAAACTTACTTTGTTACTTATAATCTTAGATCTTAGATCTTACGAATTCCAAAAATGATTGCTTTTAATTGATTAATAAAAACCTTTTTAAAAATATTGCAATTGCTTAAAGCACATTTCTAACTACGTGTAAGGTTGCTTAGTTTTCGGCACATTCGAATAAACCTAAAGTGTTGTTATTTGGTCTCAACCGAAACGAATTATAGTTTTTAAAAGCTCAATAACTTCTAACGCAAATTTTCTCAATAAAGTGTAAAACATTAAAATTTGGGAAATCTCAATGTCCAGTATTCATTTATCCCTTATTTTGGAGGGATTTTAGTAATACCAATTATGTCAAGGCAAGTTATATATATAATTTATATTTCCAGTGACGGTTAAAAATTGTATAAATTTTAGCCATATTTAGGTTTTTTTCCCGCAAAACTAGCGGATTTTTTAAAAAGTTGTAGAAAAAATGTTTTCAAGATCAATCGTTTTAATACATACAACAAAGTTATCCCAGGACCGTATTACAAAAAATAAGGCAAACAAAATAAATTAAAACAAAAAAATTAAAATATTATTTCTAAAGCTCATTTCCTAGACTGATTTCTCAAAACGGCTTTTTATCATTGGGAATTGCAGTAGAAATAACGACGATGGTATGATAGTGTGGTACTGAATTTGTCTTATTTGTTCATAAGATAGAAATCAAATGGCAATACAAAATCAAAAGCTATTTAAATAAATAATTTTAATTTTAAGAAATTATTATACCCGTTACTCGTAGAGTAAAAGGGTATATTAGATTCGTGCAAAAGTATGTAACAGGTAGAAGAAAGCGTTTCCGACCCTATAAACTATATATATTCTTGATCAGGATCACTAGCCGAGTCGATCTAGCCATGTCCGTCTGTCCGTCTGTCTGTCCGTCTGTCTGTCTGTCTGTCTGTCTGTCTGTCTGTCTGTCTGTATGAACGCTGAGATCTCGGAAACTATAAAAGCTAGAAGATTGACATTTTGCATGCAGATTCTAGGAGTTCCCACGCAGCGCAAGTTTGTTTCAAAAGGGTGCCCCGCCCCCTCTAACGCACACAATCGCTTATATACGATTTTAGAAATTTCAATATTTCGGAAAACTAAAAATGCAGTTTTATTGTGTTTATGAATACCTATCGAAATGTTGAAGAAATTTTTTTAAATCGGACCATTCGTTAAAAAGTTACGGCGGATCAAAGTCCCTTTAGCTGAGTAACGGGTATCTGATAGTCGGGGCACCCGACTATAGCGTTCTCTCTTGTTTTTTTGTATGATCAGTAATACTTACTCTAATTGATATCGATAAATATTAATTGTGATTATTTTTTTAGCAGGTTTAAAGGAGAATTGCCTGAAGAGCGGCATATGAAGGTGGATAATAAAAACTTTTATTTTGATATCGGGCAAAATAACCGAGGAGTCTACATGCGGATAAGCGAAGTATTAATGGAAATAATTTAATAATTCTTTGATATTTTATTTATGTTTTTAAATTTTAAGGTTAAGAATAACTTTCGAACTTCGATAACTATCCCGGAGAAATGTTGGATTCGTTTTCGAGATATATTTAATGATTATTGCGAGAAAATGAAAAAATCGTCCGACTCAATTACTGCCGAAATTAATCTACCGACATCCTCAAATAGTCTTAAATAAAAAAACATCCCGTGATTAATGCAATCGTATAAGAAGGCATACAAAATTAATTAATATATGTCGATTGACCAACACGAAATGTAAAGCTTGTAATGTCTGACTTAACTAGCTAAACTCAGAAATACGCGAATGATTAAGCTTGAATGACACACACAAATATATTTATTTAGTAGCATTTAGCAAAATATGTGTTAGTATTATTTAATTTTTTATTATAAAATAATAAATTAGTTAGAGTTAAAGTAGCGAAAATTAAATCTTTAAATCACACAGACAGAATCGAATCATTAATTTGTGCTCGGTCTGAAAATGCACCCTGCGCGCATTGTCAGTAACTATAATGCAAAAATAAACAATTTGATGACCGGTTTTTCCAATGATCCATATAATATCCATTAATAATAGTGATTTTTGATTTATTCGTCCATTTGTCGGTTATCGCTAAAGAGTAGAGTTCAAATCAGATAGGCGTGCTCCGGATTTAAGTTTACTTTAACGTTTTTAGCAAAACGTATCTTTTGGTTGTCCTGGTACTCGTAAAGTAATCAAACGTATACATATGTACTGAAGTTTTTAAAAGAAATTTAGCAGTGGCAGCTTTTTGAACCTAAAAACATTTGCTGTTGTCGGGAATTTTGTATGAATTTTTAGAAGAAGGTACATAATGATTTTTTGCCTAAACTAATAGGTCCCAACCTGCAAACCTTTTTTTCAACACCAACAAAACTCTGCCCTACACTTTCTGATCGGGATATTATAGCAGACATTGATTCTATTTATTATAGCACGTATTCAGACATCTATTTCCTGATGATAGCAAATATATCAGTTTATTCAGACTAGTATTTATTTAATGTACCCCTCCAGAAGGTAATTTAGTTTCGGCCAGCAGTTTGTAACGCAGTGAAGAAGACGTATTTGACCCTAAAAAGTTCTTGAAAAGCTACACTACACGAGTTGATATGGCCATGTCTTTCTGTTTCAATTCAGTTTGCTCATAAAATATGTGTACGCAGGTCAAGTTTAAACCGACCCGATCGGACGTCTATAACCTACGGGTCCCAAGGAAACTATCGGATAAATCTTTTATAACTAATCAGTAATTAAATAATATGAAACTTTCCCATAGGGTGAACGGGGTCAAAATTTAATGATTTATTTTTTAAATTTCACTCACATTTTAAGTCGTGAAATCTGCAAGGGTGCCAAACTTGGGCTTGCCGAAAATAGCTTCCGTTATTGTCGTTATTATTTGGTATTATTCTTTGGCTTTTTTTGTAAAATTTGTAAGCTAAGTATTGGTTTATTTGTTTTCATAAATTGCTGATTTTTATACATTTTGTGGGCAAGAGTAAGAAAAGTATTATTAATGATGTTTATAAATAAAAACGCTGTGGATCTTTGAAATCAAGAGTCACATATAATTGTAATTCTCGGATCCGATCTGAGATCCGATTTTATATGTGGATGAAGGTACATATAATAGGTTTTTAACTTTGCGAAACGTTGAATCAAGTATCGGCTAAGCTAAAGAGAAAACCGGAGAACGCCTAAAAATATTATTCTTATTTAATCAATGTTAAATCCACATACAAGAAGTGTAATAAAAGTAAAGGGCAATTATTTGAATTCCTGTATGTAACAATATATGTAATAAGACAATTGGCTTTTTTATTTTGTTTTTTTACATTCTTCGACAATTTTTTTTATTCTGATCTAGCCATTTCCGTCTGTCCATCTATATGAAAACTAGTACTTTGCTGACTTTAAGACGCTGATCGAAATCGAATTACAATTTAATAGAGAGCCTTAATGCAAAGAAAAATTACTGCCCGAAAAATATTAGAACCTAATTGCAAAACATTCTAGAGATCGGTAGTTGATTCGATGGTGACAACGTAAATGGAATAAAGTTTCTCTATACTTTAAAAAGGGTATGGAGTTCCGCGCATCTCATAGTCGGATCCTCGACTATTGCGTCGTATGTTTTTTATTAATTAGTATCGATTCTGTTGTGAGTTGAGGTAATGGATAATTCGTGCCACTTAGAATAACTATTCTCATGAGATGTATTTAAAAAATTAATGGGTTCTACCACAATTTAAGTCAGGTTTTTTGTAATTTGGAAACATTCTTAACAAGTTTGCAAAATTGTTAAAGATTCTAGTAATAATATGATAAATATTATAATACAGTTAAAATAACTCCTAAACGCGTTTTTAAAACAAAAGTTTCAATGTGATCACGTAGAATAAAAAAAGTTACTAAGTACGATGAACATGCATAGCAAAATTAATACATAAATCGAAGTCAACAAATTGAAATTTCCCAGAGGAATATCGTGTACAGATTGTGTGTGCTAAGTAACAAATTAGTGCTATTAATTATTTAGTATTTAAAGTTGTCAGTTTTCGATTTCAATGAGAGTTCATTGAATTGTTATGGAAAATATGTAAATTTGCTTTCGTCATTATATTCATATTTATAAAAACGAGAGCCAGTTTGCTAGATGAATCAAAAAACCAAATAATTTAATTTAATTTAATTGATTGTAATACTATTGAAACTAAAACATCCGATAAAGTCCTACAAATTCCCCTACTAGAGTCGATGTTAATCTGACTATAAACTTAAAATCTTTGTAATTATCGGGCAATTGTAAAAGGCAATATGTTACAGAGGATCCAACAAATTAGTAAAATATTAAAAGTGGATTTATCTTAAATGTTGTTTGGCAAGAATGCATAATGTGTATTTTAAGAGTTTTGTGAATATAATATGAAAATAAAGTTGAATTTAAACAAATTTACTGTTATTTATTTTTTACGCCGGTATATTATTTTTTAAGAAAACTAATAATGGATTTGATCCTAAAACTGAGCTACTCTTGCCTTTTTTGGCACTTAAATCAATAATTAAAATGTGGAATATTCTTAAGGGGCATCAAAAAATTGCTTGACTTTACGTTTTTTATAACCAAACTAGTTTAATTTAATCGTCTCAAACATTTTGAATATTTTTAAGTGTCTTTTGAATTAGAGGTTTACGCTGATGGCTTGTTCGTCGACGGCGGCGTGGGGGTCAAGAAAAGCCGCCGGCGGCGGCAGCTAAGCCGTCCCATTTGTCGGCATCCAGCGGCGTACTCAGAAAAAAACAAAAATGGTTTTTTTTATAAACAATATAAACTATTTTCTGAAAGATTTCTTAATGTTTTAAATTTTTATTCATTTTTTTATAAAATTTAAATTAAAGTCCTTATACAATAATTAAACAAACATACAATTTCAAGAAATTAAAAACATATTAACACTTCTTTAGTAATCAGTGATCAAGTTTGTTCTGCTGAACGCTCATAATATATTTCGATGACGTTAAAGTAATAAATATATCAAACAGTGCGCCCGAAATTTAAAGAAATATTTTTCCTGTCCCCGCAACTGCAGCACTGCTCACAGCTATCGCGGATACATAAAAATAAAAAATGGCTAAACAATAGGGGGATTCCCTAAACTGTTGAATTGCTGAATTGTTGAATTTTGGTCAGCTGTTAATCAGCTGTTCCATACAAAATCAACTTTCAGAAATTTCAGCAATTCAACAGCCTCGGGGCTGTTGAAAATTTTGTTGAATTGCTGAAAAGCCAGAGTTGTCACCTTTTTTAAAAGTAGTGGCAACTCTGTAATATTTTAGTATCACCAGTACGCATTATTTATTTTAAAATTAACTTAGAAAGCATATTTGTGGTTCTTTTTACCTTGGTAACACTTTTAGACAGTAACTAGCAATAATAAATCAAATTTTACATGCTTTAAGTTCCGTGAAATTTTTCAACAAATAACAGCTGTTTGAAAATTCAACAGGAACCATTTTGTGTCGTTCCCTTAATTGCTGAAATTTTTTGTTGACTTTTCAACCATTCAGCAATTCAACAGTTTCGGGAATCCCCCTAATTATCAACAATTCCACCGAATATATGGTTTTTTGCCAATCTAGGGGGACTTAAATCTGTAGGAGTCGTATTTTTTAAAATATCGGCTTCAAATATGGAGTGAATTAGAATATTCACTCAAAGCTCAAAGATTATGTCGGACATAAAAACAAATAAAAAAACTGTTTTTTTAAGATAAAAACACCAAACAGAAATATTTTTTAAAAAATTTTCAATCTTTTAACTGTTTTTGAATTTTTTGTTATAGGGGACAGTGGGGCAATTATGTCACCTGCAAAATTTAGGAATCCATAAATCGTAAAAATATATAATTTTGTTTTTTGTTTTAGTCCTTCAAGACTGCATGACACAACCAATGCATTTTTTTGGACAGAAGGTCAAGATAATTAAGCTATAATATTAAATGTGTTTTAATAGTTCAAAAGCTACAATTAATTCTCGACGAAAGTTTTTCTGTATGCCACAATTGAAAAGGAATAAAAAACCAAGAATTGTTGTCAACGATGGATGAGGATAAATTTTTGTCAGCCCGCTTTGCGGGCGGAAGGATACCGTTTTCCTTTAGCTAAATAAATCAATGAATTTTCAAATGCTCCCGCTTCCACGAGAACTATGTATAAATAAGAAAGCTAAAATATCGTCCAATGGCACTTCAAAACGCCTTTCAGCAGATCAAGCGCTTTCTCTTGTGATAGACAATAAATTGTCAATGCACCAATACAATATCTTAGGGCAGCATGCAAATATGGTCTGTCCAAAATTGTTTCCATGTTATGATCTCGTACACACAAATACTGATCTCATGCACAGGGTACTGATATCATTTGATCCATTTATAACAAGTTGGCGAGCACCACCAAAGACTAGACACCAGTGCTGCCATCACTCAGCTTGAAAAACCGGACAGAAAAGCCAACAAAAACAGGGAAAAAGAGGACAAAAAAATTTAAAAAAGGACAAAAAAAAGGACAAAAGTAAATGCGCCTCCATTTTTCTGTTTTTACCAAAGGGTGATATATTTACTTAATATAAATGGATTTTATATTAAATTCAATTATGTAATGATCTATTGCGCCCGACTCACAACCTTCTTCGTTTGATCATTTTACCATGGTCAATTTTTGTGCGTATACGTAATAATCTAAAATTATTAAAATAATAAAAGCATTTCAAGTAACTATATTGGTAATACAAAAAAATGCAATATCTGCGTCAAACCCGAATAAGAGTCGTTCAAATATGAAATTTTTTTCTGACAAAAAGGCTGAGAGTAAAAATTGAGAACTTTTTAAAGTGTTTTCCTCTTTTTTTGCTACAGAAAAAATCGTACTATAAAGAAAGTCCATCGACTGCATTACATCTCTTTGATAATTTGTAAAAATAATTATTTTTAAAGTGCCGAACTATAAGAATAATGGTTAAAACGGCGTTTCAGCATATAAAAGCAGGTTTATACACTTTCGACTAGCAAAAATAACACTCAAAACCTTATCTTTGAAAAAAGGACAGATTTCCGGATAGGGGATGTTTGAATTTTTTTCCGGATAAAGTCGTTAAAAAAGGGACAGATCTGTCCGGAAAGAGGACAAAATGGCAGCACTGCTAGACACTTAGAGCTTCTAGAAGATGTGTCCCAACTTTTATTCCAAAAAAAAGGAAATAGTTGAAAGTTTGGAACAATTTTTATACCCTTGTAGAGGGTATTATAATTTCACACAGATGTTTGCAACGCAGTGAAGGAGACGTTTCCGACCACATAAAGAATATATATTCTTGATCAGCACCAATAGCCGGGTCTATCTAGCCATGTCCGTCTGTCCGTCTGTCTGTCTGTCTGTCTGTCCGTCTGTCTGTCTGTCCGTCTGTCTGTCTGTCCGTCTGTCTGTCTGTCCGTCTGTCCGTTTCTATGCGAACTAGTCTCTCTGTTTTAAAGCTATCGCGATGAAACTTTCCCGAAAGTCTTCTTTCTATTGCAGGTAGTACATATGTCGGAGAGAGCCGGATCGGACCACTATATCTTAAGGCTCCCATAGGAATATTCAATATTCTTGTTTAAAATATTTTAACATCGGAGTTACAGCTAAAGACATGAGCATATAACCAAAATCCAACATTTTCTCAAAAAAAAAAAATGGTCTCCAAAATTAAATTGACGAAAATTAGGGGAGAGTGGGGCAATTTCGTCAGCATTTTTTCAAAGCTATTTTTTGTCCATCTTGAGACACGTTATCATATTTCTATTTTTTTTGTTGAATGCGGTTAGCACCAAGCTTTAAAATGTGACATTCCCCTTTTTTGTTAATTACTTTGGTGATTTATTTTTATAATAATTAAAAATAATCTCCTTCACTGTGTTGCAAACATCTGACTGAAATTATAATAATTATAATACTGAACAAGAGGGAACGCTATAGTCGGGTTGGTGTCCCGACTATCTAATACCCGTCACTCAGCTAAAGGAAGTGCGAACGCTGTACTCGGGTTGGTGTCCCGACTAATAATCGTAACTCAGCTAAAGGGAGTGCGAGGGAGATAGATATATAAATTTTGATTGCGTATAACTTTTTAATGAATGGTCCGATTTGAAAAATGTCTTCTACATTTCGATAGGTATAAATATACACAACAAAATTGCATTTATACTTCTCGGAAATCTTTAAAGAGGTGGGCGCAGGACCCATTTTAAAATCGGCGATTGTGGGCGTTAGAGGGGGCGTGGCGCTCGGCTAAAATAAACTTGCGCTGCATAGGAAGCAAAAGAATATGTGTGGGATATCTCAACATTCTAGCTTTTGTAGTTTCTGAGATCTCAGCGTTCATACAGACGGGCAGACGGACAGACGGACATGGCTAGATCGACTCGGCTAGTGCCCCTGATCAAGAATATATATACTTTATGGGGTCGGAAACGCTTCCTTTTAGCTGTTACATACTTTTGCACGAATCTACGAGAATCTACTCTACGAGTAACGGGTATAAAAATAGAACCAGAGGTATGAAAAAGGTACCACCCACATACTTTATTAGCGCGAGCATTTCAAGGCAACTATGCAAATTTCCGGTGGTTTGCAATATTCCAGATATTCTAGGTTAATTTGCAGCTCCCTTAATAGTAAGCTCACAAGTCGTGTCAAAACAGAGGAGGAAGCTTAGATATCCACATGATTATGTTTCTAGAACACTAGTGACGTGCAATAATACAACTATGACTCGTCCTAACATTATATACTTTCAGACCTAATTTACCTTGGTCAGTTGGGCTTCAGGTTGTCCGGGTCACCTCTTCTATCGATTTTTCATTGTGGGAACTTATCTCGTAGTGTCCGATAGAATATCAGATGCCCCCTCCGGTAAATTATATTCGCAAGATTCTGTGCATCTTCTTCCGAGCAGAATTCCAGTTGACAAGCTACTTCCAGCGCAAGCTTACTACTTCTGGAGCTGCCGAGCAGATAATAGTCAGGTGTGAAGGCCACTTGCTTAAGCTTTGCAGTTCAAACCTATTCCGAAGACCCTTAATGGTATTGCACTTTTAAGTGGGCATAGGGAATTGTTCTGCCCTTTCTCAGCTGCGTACACTGCAGAACAGCGGTCTAGATAAATCTGATTTAAACTCGCCACATATCGAAACCGTTGGGAAATACTTAAAGAATCTGGTACTTAAGGACCATCAATATGGATCAAAATTACAAACCAATCTCGTTCCGAACGTGTTCATGGTTTTATTATTCATAGGCATTTTCATACACAGAAAAAATAAACATTTATCGATCTATCTCCCCAAATACTACATCCAAAGTACCAATAATGGCAACGACGTCGGCAAGCATGTGCTGCTTTCCAATCTTCTCTAAAGCTGCCAAGTGGGCAAAACCAGGGGCTTTTATTTTACAACGGTATGGACGGCTCGATCCATCTGAAATTAGGTAAACACCGAACTCGCCCTTCGGAGCTTCAATTGCCGTGTACGTTGCCCCGGGTGGAACTTGATAACCTTGGGTAAATAGCTTGAAGTGGTGAATAAGAGCCTCCATGGACGTCTTCATTTCTGAGCGCGTCGGGGGCGCCACCTTGGCATCGTCCGTTTTGATTTCTCCAGCAGGCATTTGATTCAGGCATTGATCAATTATTCGCAACGACTGACGCATCTCCTCGATGCGGCAGAGATATCGGTCATAGCAGTCGCCTTTGGTGCCGATCGGCACATCGAAGTCTACCAGGTGGTACGCGTCATAGGGCTGCTGTTTGCGGAGGTCCCACTTTATACCGGACCCTCGTAGCATGACGCCACTGAATCCGTAGTTTAGAGCTTCCTCTGCCGTCACAATGCCAATGTCCTCGGTTCGCTGCACCCAGATTCTGTTCGTGGTCAACACATCCTCCACTTCGTCCAACCGCTCGGCAAACTTCGATGCAAACTCATAGATATCATCCATTAGGCCAAGCGGCATGTCCTGCAATTGAGCGTCAATATAGGATTTTAATATGGGTACGACTGCATTACCAACGACACGCCACCAGGACGGATGTAGGCAGCATGCATTCGAGCACCAGAAACTCGCTCATAGAATTCCATCATTTTCTCGCGCTCCTCGAATAACCAGAAAAAGGGAGTTAAAGCACCAACATCCAACGCGTGTGTTCCGACAGCCATTATATGGTTTAGAATCCGAGTAATCTCGGCAAACAAGGCTGAAATGAACAAAATTCGAAAAGGAGTACTTTAGCGCATGTTGTTAACAGAATTAGGGGGGCTAGGGTCTTCGAAAATTTAATTTTTGTTTTGTTATGAGTCAAAATCTGCCAAGTGGGCCACCACTCTTCCGAAGGTCCGATTTTCATCGAACTTTTTACTTTTCCGGTTCACAACGACAAAATAAGAACTTTATTTGAACGGTTTCTCGAAACTTTGAGTTTTACCGGAGTTATTTGGGTCGCAATATGGCATTTTTGGCCCTTTTTCGAAAAAGTTGCCCTCAGTCATTATTCCATAACTTCGGAACCTTTATGATATTTTCTCTAATCGCTCAAGAATTATTATGGCCCGCTTTAGCAAATATTTAATATCTACACGAAAGTTTTATGTTGTAGTGTGACGAATGAATAAATTTTAGGTAGCGTACTTATTTAGTCGCATCTAAAATCATTTTTCGTCACAAAGATTGATATCAGAACTTTTGTACGTTGAAGGTGCGATCGTCACTAGTGTTTTACCTCGTTAAGAGGTGTTTTTATTTGATATAATAGTAGTCGCCTTCGCACACTCTCCTGGTGCGCTTCGTCGCTAGATGGACTGCCGTCCATAGTGATTATACGATCCATTAAATAAACTCGCATTCTCAATTTTTCCCATTCTGCACGCTTCCTTTAAATCGTACAGCTTCACAGGCATATTGTAATGCAGTGTGCCGAATGAGAATAATTTTGAATTCAATTTTGAAAATAACGAAATATGGCGGGTTGCTGTATTCTTGGTGATGGTTTTTTTGATGCTTTTCCGCTAAACTAGCGAGTTTAAACAAAAGTTGATTAAAAAAATAAAACAATGGATCCTAAAAAAAGGACAAAGAAAGTAACACACATTTAGGTCTCAATTTGAAAATTGCCCAAAAATCTTGAAAAATGCATAACTATTGAACAGCTTTTCCGAATGGGTTTAAATTTGACTCGTTCCACGCGTATTTTAAAAAAGAAAAATTTTATTTTTTCCATAACGCTAATTTTTTAACTTCCTTTTTTTTACTTTTACTTGAATTTTTCCTAAACTAATAAAGTTCTAAAAAGTTTTGGTATCAAAATGAGAAGAGAATAAAATACCTTTAGATCGCTATATTCCTTTTTTCCAACGGACTATCGTAGCAGAATTTCAAATCTACTGCTATACTTAGTAGTCGTCCCGCGGACAATTTCGGTGAGATTCGTGACTACGTGGACTGCCGTCCACAATGATATTTAATAGAGTCCTGCATGAGTACACTTGAATTGACAAACAAGTAAATTTTTTATTTCAGTTAACTTGGATCACTTGTTTCACAGGATTTTTTCCTTTCAAAACAAGTGATAAAGTTGATAGAGTTTACAACTCCACGGCGGACAGATCGGACGTCGTGCGCTTTGATTTAAAAGCATCTCCTCCGGAGATCGAAATATATTGAGAAAAAACGCAAATATAAAATCACCCAGACCTCGAGCCAGCCAAACCAATTGTTTGATTACATCACAAAGGTCGCCAAACTCCAACAACTATAATATAAAATAATTTCGAATCACCGAAATAATTTTTTTAGTAATTCTATCACTCCCACTCACTTTTATTCTGTGCTTGTATCACTTGCTTTTCCTTACGAGTGATCAAGTGAAACAAGTGATCGAATTTAACTCTTTTAAACTCACTCACTCTATTTTCAAAAATTGACTTGTTTGTCAATCAAATAAAAACACCTCTTAAGGAGGTAAAAAACTAGTGACGATCGCACCTTCAACATACAAAAGTTCTGATATCAACATTTGTTACGAAAAATTATTACATTCGTCATTACATACACTTTCTAAAATTTTCTGATTCGGCCCGCCTTAGAAAACTGATCCAGCCTTTTTCTTCTAAACTCCTCAAAGGCTTTTTTATTGCAGCGTGCCGAATGAGAAAATTTTAGAAAGTGTATGCACAAGTCTGTAGTTTAAGTATTTCGCAAGTTATGGGCTTACGAAATTAGGTATTTATAGCGGTTTTCCCGCTAAACTAGCGAGCTTTTCCAAAAGTGGAAGAACTAATGTTTCTTATATCGAGCTGTTTAACACCATATAAAATTTCTAGGATTTCAAACCAACGTTTTGGGTCAAACTGACAAACTCACAAACTGACAAACAGAATTTAATTTTCATTTTAATTTTCTTTTGGCTATAACTTTTGAACGGAGCGTCGGATTTTACCATATGACTCCTCATTCGACGGGTATTTTCAATAGGAAAACAACTAAAACATTTAATTTAAATAATTTTAATTTTCTTTTGGCTATAACTTTTGAACGGAGCGTCGGATTTTATCATATGACTCCTCATTCGACGGGTATTTTCAATAGGAAAACAACTAAAACATTGCGTGGGGGCATTTATCCCCACCGGCCCCAACAGCTTCAAAATTAGAAATTTTCACTTTTTTACTTTCTCCGCCAATTGATTTTCTTTAAGTCTTATATACCTTTCGATTAGTGTAAAACTCACTATGATCGGAGCATCACAGCAGATTTTCAATTCTTCGGCTATATATAGTAGTCGCCTTCGCACACTCTCCTGATGCGCTTCGTTACTACATGGACTGCCGTCCTTAGTGATTCAAGTGTACTCAGGCTGGACTCTTATATTTAATTTGATATATTGTTTAGTATTAAGTGTCATTTGCATGCGCGGATCCACGGGGGTGATAAGTAAAAGGAATATTGGTATTAGGGATGTCGAAAATATATCAAATTATCAATATATCCATATTTTTTACGAAAAAATAAATATTTTTATCGTGATATTTTTTTTGAATAATTATCATATATCATCGATTTTTTTTTTAAATTTTTTTGATAATTTTAAGTGGTCTCGCTTTTCATCGGGACAAGAAAAAATACATATGTCAAAGATGAGCGCCGCTAAAATTTATTTTTCGGCAAGTGAAAATGCATAGCATTCAGAATTCAAGAAAACGCGATAAAAAAAATGCGCGGGAAATACTTGATTTTAATATTATAAATAAATGCAAAAGAAAGCAAAAATAAATATTGTTTTCTTTCATTTATTAATAAATATAAACTAAAAATTATAAAAATATAATTTAAGATCGTATGTAGGTTAATGTTTAGTGGTTATTGCTTATGCAGCTTAAAATTAAAAAAAAAAATAATAAAACAAAAATATCTGATATATAGTTATTTTTTTTCTGATATATCAAATATCATTTTGATTTTTTGTTTAAATAAAAAATATCATCGATACGATATTTTTAAATATTTCGACATCCCTAATTGGTATTCAAAACGTATGCAACAAAAAATTGGTTCTGATGTCACCCCCCACAACAAAATCCCAGATCCGCCACTGGTAATTTGAATAACATCCACTTACATCCCCTTAATATATTGGTGACAAAGCGTTTGCTTTAAAACTTAAAAAACAGCGTTGAAATTATCAGATATGTATGAACTCTGGTTTTATACCTATTTCTTTCAATAAATAATAAATAAAAGTTTAAGAAAGCTTTAAAAGGACAAGACAAGAGATTTGCCATTTCAGAGCTTCGACCGACTCAAGCCCACGATTTTACGTAGGCAATGGTTACTACTTACTTCGAATATACTTTGCTCGGAGAGGCACCTCGATGTTGAGGAGCTTTTCTACAGCCAGAGAGTAGCACTGTTCGTTGCACATCATGGAGACGTAGTCCAGCCGGTCAAAATAGGGCAATGCCTGGGTGTAGGTCTTGTACTCAATAAGCTTCTCGGTGCCGCGGTGCAACAACCCAATGTGAGGGTCGGCACGCATCACAGTCTGAAAAATGTGGTAGTGTGATGTAGATCTAGTGAGTAAGTCTGCGACTACCAGCTCTAACCTCTCCATCCAGCTCAAGCACCAGACGAAGTACTCCGTGGGCCGCGGGATGTTGGGGGCCGAAGTTCAGGGTCAAGTTACGCACGGATTTCTCGACAGGCGTCACCTTGCCTAGTAAAAAAGGAAGTTTGTTATGTCAGGGGTCAGCTGGTTGGGCTACCAACTTACTGTTCCATGGAGGCACCTTCCAGAGCGATGTCACTTCATCTGGATACATGACCGGACCGCTAAACTGCTTCATGAACTCAGGGTCTGGATACCATTTTGCAGCTCCGCGGCGAGTCTCATGCCCACTGACAATCGAGTGATTCGAAAAATTAACAAAACAGTATGGTCGTATTATGTAAGCAGATCATCTTTACCTTAGCGCGGTCGATCCTGGTGCAACTAGTTGCTTCCCCAGCCGCAAGTGGGACAACCCGGGGACCAAGGAGCGCCTCGTAATGTTGGCAAACGCCATGCTGATAGCCAATTTGCTCTTTTTAAGTTTTTAAATTAGCGTTTCAGAAAGCTAATACAACCAAATCGACGGAAGTTATCGATGTTCGGAAAAAAAATTATCGAAAGACCATTTACACCGGCAAATCAGCTGCGGCTTTTATGGTGTTCACACTGATCACATATTATAGGAACACCTAATTTGTAAAGTTCTATCCAACTATACCACAGTTAAAGCCTAAAATGAATCTCGGGAAAAGCAAACTGTAGTTGGCGGCCAAGAAAAGATTTGATTACTTATTTTTAGTCTTATTCTACGACATTGTACGGCTCCTTTATTAAAGCAATGTGTAGGGCAGCTTTAATGGACAATTAATGGGAAGAATGGAAAAACTGATAGGCACTTCAGGTATTTTTTCTTGTATTTTAAAAACCCCTGCTAGTTCACTTCTTAAGCCTTACTTAAGTACTTAAGAAAAAATTAAATAATGCTTAAGTTCTTTGTTTTTTGGCTATCGTTGAATTATTTGAAGTTTGTTATGAGCGGAAAAGCGTTCGCAAACAGGTTGCTATGAGTGGGCCAAAATGTAAGCTGTTCAGCGTACGAAAACATCAATGAACGCAATTTTACGACAGTTTTCCCGAGTTGAAATCCCCCTTCGTTAGTCTTGAGCTGGGCAACTGCATGGTGGAACTAATAAGGTGCTCTCGTCGCGAGAGCTGCCTTCTTCTGAGGACGTTATTTGTGCCAGTCTCTCTCTAGCTATCTCATTCCATCGTTTAAGAGAGATAGAGAGGTAAACATATTTAACGTCCTCAGCAGAGCTGACGAGACCACCTTGTATAGTTCCACCATGGGCAACTGCTCCTCAGTCAGCTTTTATTTGATGGTGGATGGTGCATGGAGCTCTGTGGGAACACGGGTTTCACATTTGTCAAAAATCCCAACCGTTTCACACGGATGGACTCTATCGGAAGAGGCTATAAGAGTTTTATTAGTCGAAATATTATCAGGGACTAATAATAACTGTTATTCTAGATTTTTCTGACAAAAATCATCGTGCACACAGAAGAGTCGTAAAATTTTTTTAAAGAAGCCCGAAATTTTTGTTAGCCATTTTGGATATATATAACAGTTATTCCTTGACATTTTGGCAGAAATGAAACAATTAAAAAAAGCATGCCCACTGTGTTTTACAGAACTTTCTAAAAATCTTTAAAAAAAGCAAACCGCGCATATTGTATGCTTTCTTTTCATTAAATGGGGATTCCCTAAACTGTTGAATTGCTAAATTGTTGAATTTTGGTCAGCTGTTAATCAGCTGTTCCATACAAAGTCAACTTTCAGAAATTTCAGCAATTCATCAGCCTCGTGGCTGTTGAAAATTTTGTTGAATTGCTGAAAAGCCAGAGTTGTCTTTAAAAGTCGTGGCAACTCTGTAACATTTGAGTATCACTAGTACGCATTATTTATTTTAAAATTAACTTAGAAAGCATATTTGTGGTTCTTTTTACCTTGGTAACACTTTTAGACAGTAACTAGCAAAAATAAATAAAATTTTACATGCTTTAAGTTCCGTGAAATTTTACAACATATAACAGCTGTTTGAAAATTCAACAGGAACCATTTTGGGTCGTTCCCTTAATTGCTGAAATTTTTTGCTGAATTTTCAACAATTCATCAATTCAACAGTTTAGGGAATCCCCCTTAAATTTATTTTACTTACAAAATCGCTATAAATCAAGTTTGACTTTTAATTTTGATCACGACGAATAACTGTTATTTCTCAACTTTTATTATAAAACTCACCCTATTTTTTAGTATAACACATATAATTTAATACATTGATCAGCCAATTTAATGGCTATAAAACGGACAGACAAACATAACGGAATGGCAATTAACAAATTTTATAAGTTATAATACAAAGTTGAAACAACAATACAACGCATTACTGTTTCAGGACACGTGTGACATGACGTCTTCTTGTCTAGAGATCGCCGGGATGCCCTCGCTTTAGCCTTCTCCTGTTCGTCGGGCTGGCCAAGGAAGCTGCTAGGTGGTTGGGGTGTCCTGTGAGGCGTTCGTTATACCGACTCGAGTGCCGGTTTATCTGATCCCTGACAAAGGGCATGTGGAGGTCATTATCTAGGTCGACGTTTCTTATGTACCACGGCGCATTTGTAATTGTACGCAGCGCCCTATTTTGAATTCTTTGGACCTAGATGACTTTAGAGTCAGAAGCCATGCCCAGTTGGATGCAGTACGTCATTGAGGGCACCACAATTGTTCTAAACAGCAACACTTTGTTGAGCTTTCTTAGCTTAGCGCGACATGTAGCTGGTATTTTTGTTGTGTGCTGCTTCCAGGTGAGCCGTTTGCAAGGATCAGACCCAGGTACTGCGCTTGGGGAGATTGTGGGATGGTGGTGTTATGGAGCTTAAGTGTTGGAAGGATCTGTCCTCGTAACGTGAAATTGCAGTGTTGTGACTTTCTGCCAATAATTTCAATATTCCACCTATTTGTCTACTTGCCGTAGAAGTCGAGATATTCCTGGGTTATTCTTGATGCTTCAGTTCGGAATTTACAAGGAAGGCAGTGTCGACAGCGTTGGTGGCAAGAAGCGTGTCCGGTACATGAATATAAGGCGGATCAGAGGTGAACAGGGTATGTAACACGGGACCCAGGACGCTTCCCTGTTGAACGCCAGCACGAGCAAATCTTAAGCTTGACCTTTTCCCTCTTACCTCGACCATGAAACTTCGATCAAGCAGGTAAGATTTGAGAATAAGGAATAGGCCTGTCGGGAGTAGGGTCTTCAACTTATCGAGTAATCCTTCGAGCCATACGCGGTCAAATGCTTCCTTGACGTCGAGGAAAATAGCAGAGCTGTATTGCTTATTCTCAAAAGCATTTAAGATGTGCTGGACAAGTCGGTGTGCTTGTTCTGGTGTCCTATGATGATTCCTGAAACCAAACTGGTGGTCGGGTATGGCATCCTGAACGCTTTTTACTCCCAAAATTCTACTCAGAAGTATTCTCTCGAATATTTTAGAGAAAGTGGGTAGCAAGCTGTTCAGTCGATATGACGCGCCCGTTGTTATCACAGCACACTTCCATTGAGAGGGGAAGTGGTGGATACGTATATAATATTTACGCTTATAAAACGTTTCTCGAGTTCATCCGCAAAGCTAAGGAAATTTCGGAGTCGGACCATGCACCATGAATAGTCAGCTTTCCTTATGGGGATCTTTCGGAGAGGCTGTCGTTTTATATTCCGTGTTAATTTCCAATGGTTTGGTTTGTCCGCGTTGAGGAGCATATCATCGAAATATTATCACCAAATAACAGTTTTTTATTGAGTTTTTCTTTTTATTTTACAAATCGGAAAATAACTCTTTAAATGTGACTTTTAAAATAATATTTTATTTTTATTTTATTATATTAAATTATATTTCACACGACAACAAAATGGACTTTATTAAAAGGTGCAGGCCTATGGGCATTAAAATATGTTAATATAGACGTATATAAGCATACATACATTAGCGTTTAACGGGTGGTATTTGTGCAATCGCGGCTTGAAAAAAATTGCAACATTTAACGTTTTGATTTAAGATATCTTCGAGGGTCTGTGCTCAATTGTATTAAAACCTATGCTAAAAAATGGCTTAAATTCTCTTCTACATAATTGCATTTAAGGTTCGATCATTATTTGAGTCAATCAAAGCCTATGAGCCATTGAAGTAATTTGTTCACCTCTATTCACAACCAATTTGATGCGGTGAACAGGCTTAAAAAATACAAGGAAAAATATGTGCCGTAAAATATTTGACATGCATCTACAGGCGTTTTTTCCCGAATTTTTGAGATAAATATCACTACTGTAGTTTGAAGGATGGAATTTATAGAATTTTTTTCGTATGAACGGGAAAAGTAACAAGCAACTAAATCTGGTATTTTTTGGTATTTCCTTACTATTACGTTAGCTTATCTGAGTACCGCGGTGAAAAAAGTCCCCTGCTTAAGGCTTAAGCTACCTATTTGCCTCTCCTTTACTCCTATGCTTAGCTAGCAGTTTTCGTCGTACTGAGTACTAGGCTTTTATATGGTATTAGGCTGTAGCGGCATTTTGTCGCTGAAGCAGAAACGCTATTATGTAGCATTCTTTGAACGGATGGTGGGAAGACGCCATTAGCATCGAAAACCATCATAGTAATCGATGGTCTCAGGAAGAATATCGATGTTACACAATGGTTAGAAACATCGATATCACCGTACAAACATCGATTTTTGTTCCAGCTCTAGACAAGTTTTTTTTATAAATAAAATAGCTCTAGAAATACAATATTTATGTATATTTATTGTATGTAAACCAGTTACAAAAAATTGTCGTTAAAATGAGTTGTTTTCGAGTATCGCTTTTGAGACGCAAACCTGTTCGGGACCTATTTTGAACATCAAGTGAAAAATGTAATTGTTAAAAAATGTACCTGGAAAATAAGAGTGCTATAGTGTTCATATTTGTTTGTGTTTTCTTCTCTGCGAGTACGTCTGGAAATGATCTCTCTACGAACAACCTAAACTAAACTAATTTGTTTAAAAGTAGCAAATAAGAATGTTAGCCCAAGAGTAGGGATGTCTGTGTATACATATAGAGTTGATTCCGTCTCCACTGGGGACTCTGTCGTCACTGTGTATGTATACAGAAAACGTCTCTTTGGTGTATACATACATATGCATCCGTATATTTTGCCATTGTGATGTTCTAGCACTTGAAGGGAAAAAATTTGATAGAATATATTTAATCGATTACAAATTAAAAGGTTTACTCTGTTTAACATAATATAATATCACTTTTTGGTGAATTCAGTCGCTTGAATATGCTTTTTTAGTAAAATTAATTTAAAAATTGACAACATATTCAACCCCCTTTCTAATATATGTATATTCTTGATCAGCATCCCCAGACACATTTTTTTACCTGCCCGTCTATGTATTAATACAAACAATGTGTAATTGAAGTATTGGATAGGTAAAAAAGGAAAGTTGAGATCAAATCGATTTTATTGTTGGTCAATATAATTGGCCAGAACTTAGAAAATTCCCGTTTCAATAAAGGGGTTTAGCCCCTTCCTTTGCGTTCAATTAAAATCAGTTAACCCTTTTTTTTTTTAATATACCATGTATATTATATACCAATATATAATATACAATACATTTAGGGTATTCAATTCAAAAGTGTAAGCAGTTCTAACAAAAATTTCTATACAAAATAGTTTTCAAGGTCTACAACACCCTAGCCTATGTATATAAATCTGTTGTATTTGTGTAGAAATAATGGTCTAAAATAGAGGTTTTAAATAAAATACTAAAAAGTTGGGTTTGAGTCTATGGTGATGGCAACCTAAAGACCGAATGAGGCTTAAGAATTCGCGTATACATTTTGTTGATCTACTTTTGGCGACCAATGTTTTTTTATTTGGTAAATGCCATTGGTAAACGATGCTTATATATGCATCCATATGTCAAATAATTCGCGGCTTTCTGTTTTTTGGATATTTAATCTAAGCCATAAGACAGTAAGGATGTGACATTCTTGACCAAGAAGTTGGCCACTTAATATGTCAAAGAACTCGCGGTTTAAACAAATTTTTGGTGAAACCAAAAAAAGAATGACTACAATACAAGTAATTAACTTTACAAGTAATTAACTTTAACCATTTAACGCCCAAGAAGCCGCGGATTACTCATATAAAGTAAAAGGGGGCCATTTTTATGTTAAAATGTCAATTTTATTTTAGGCAAAGCCTCCATTGCAATTCATTTTCCTCAAAAATCATAAAGCTATATCAAACAAAACAAGTTAGCCTTTTCTTGCACGTCAATATCTTGCAACGATTTTTGAAAAAAGGCCGTTCACAATTTTTGTCTGGTAAACTTACAAATTTTACACTTTTGCAACGCAGTTGAATACCCTATATATATTTCAAAACTTTATATTTTCGATAACTTTTGAAATGCATGCACTGTCAATCAGCTGTGTTTGCTGACAATCAATTCTAGTACGCCATATAAAGTATATATATTCTTGATCAGGGTCACTAGCCGAGTCGATCTAGACAAGTCCGTCTGTCTGTCCGTAGAACACTGAGATCTCGGAAACTACAAAAGCTAGAAAGTTGGGATTACCCATACTCCCTTTAGCTGAGTAACGGGTATCGGGGCACCCGACTATAGCGTTCTCTCTTGTTAGATTACTGAATATTTAAAAATGTTTATTTAATACTTTTGAGCTTACTTGAGTAACATCAGTCACCAAATTAATGTGTGATGTAAAAAAGTGAATTCTATATACTCCGTTACTTTTCTAATGTTTCAGGATTTTGCTTAAATTAGTTATTAATTATTTCATTGGTTGCAGATGGAGCAAGACACACACTGGTATGTGACGACACGGATATAGCTGTAAACCAGTCAACGTATTTATAAGGCACAGCTATCTTGTAACAGATCGGGCATTCAGCAAAGCTATTAAAGACATATACATCGGAAAAACATTGATAGCGGAATGCAAGAACGGGTAAAGAAGGTACGCCTTACACTTTCCTTGACCCAGTTAAAGTCACAGACTCAAGATAGTAGCCCACGGTGCAGTATGGCTTGTAAAAGACGCTTAACCTCCAGTAAAGTGCTTGCCGAACCACAGCCACCACTCTTGGTAGCTCTCCCGAATTGCAAAACGGGTGGCCATCAGAAGCATCATAAAGTACAGCTATACTCTGGGAGTCCACTGAACATCAAGCTGTACGTGCCAGCGAATATCGAGGGTATTCCGAGAATTCGCAATCAGGCTTTAACGACTACGAACAATACACAACCAGCTATGCATCGAAAGTCTAAAAGCAAAAGCAAGAACCCAGCTTCCAACATCCTTTCAACTCTACACCCATCAAGTGAAAGTGAAAATCAGTCATCCGCAGAGAACCCATCGGCACTAATAGAAACAGTCGAAAAATGTGACGAAATTTCAGCAGGAACAAGAGTGAAGGCGTCGCAGAATTTCCCAGATTTAAACAAAACTACGAAAAGTCAGCATTACCCCAACAACAGGATAAGAAACAGAAACCGCTCATTTTCTTCCTCCACATCTTCAGCGGTAAAGTGCAAAATGATGATTCCATTACCAACTTTTGGCGCCACATCTTTCGTTACTTTGCTGACTTTAATTTGTATGGAAACGGTTTTGCTATCGACCATGTCCAGTTGCGCCAAAACGTTCTACATGCATTGGAATACATCGAACAGCATGTAAGTCTGAAAACAGATTTAAGAGTGAGGTCGTATTTATATATCTTATTAATTAATGGCCATCTTATTATACCCGTTAATTGTAAACAATATAACAATATATTGTATTGGTTTAAAAGGATGTAACACGTAGACAGAAGCGGGATCACTAGCTGTGTCGATTTAGTCATGTCCGTATGACCGTCAAGATCTTTTAAAGTATGTGTAAGGGATCGAGAATTCTGATATTACTAGCCCGTGGGATTGCATAAAAGTCTCTGCGGCTTCTGCCATTATTATATTCACACCCACAGAATAGAACAACGGTCGACCATCACACGTAGACAAATTATAACATGTCGTTGTATGCTCTAAATTGATTATAATCGCTCAAATTTTTTATGTTTGTGTATCTCAAATTTAATTATTATTTTCACGTTTTTAAATTTTTGAAATAAGAAAAGATATTGTAAACGGATTCATAGTTTTTTTTGCTGTTAAAGTATTTAAAAAGTGCACATCTTTATCTTTCGAGCCCCAGAAAAAAAACAACTATGAATCCGTTTGCCTGTGATACCCCCGGAAAGTTGGTCAATTTCAGCATTTTTCGAACTTTAAGGTCCTTCTGCTAAGAATCCTTTGCGTCAAGGAATTTTTTTGGAAAACGCAGTTTAACTTGGGGATTCGTAACGAATAAAAATTTATCGCAACCATCAAGATACATTTTTGATGTGACATAGTATTATTAATTCGCTTGAATTTAAGTTTTGGGAGTAAAGTATGGACAACTTAAACTAATTTGAAAAAAAATCGCATTTGTTTTTTAATGCCCCATTAAACATTTAATTATTTGGCTTAATTGACAATAATAATAGCGCGGCCAAGTCTCACTTAGGCCAAGCCGATCGCGATACGCTTAAAAGGCGTCGTTGGTAAGGACCCCTATTGTCTTACACATTGTCTGACATAGTATTATTAATTCGCTTGAATTTAAGTTTTGGGAGTAAAGTATGGACAACTTAAACTAATTTGAAAAAAAATCGCATTTGTTTTTTAATGCCCCATTAAACATTTAATTATTTGGCTTAATTGACAATAATAATAGCGCGGCCAAGTCTCACTTAGGCCAAGCCGATCGCGATACGCTTAAAAGGCGTCGTTGGTAAGGACCCCTATTGTCTTACACATTGTCTCGACCCGCGCCAGTTTTTTGTAGGTATCATTAAATTGTCGATTGAAAAATACCGCTGCATACTCTCAGATTGTATCAATTCCAATATTCAGAGATCTCGACGTTCATACGGACCGACATTTCTATACTTTACAGAGTCCGAAACGCTTCACTTAACCAGTTACATACTTTAAACAACACAATAAGTTACTCTTACACCCGTAAGAGTATAATTTGTAAGCAAGAGAGAACGGAAATACTTCCTTCTAGCTGCTACATACTTTTGCACGAATACAAAATACCTTTTTACTCTAAGAGTAACGGGTATAATTACACCAGTTTATAAAATAAACTTAACCTTATAATATAAACAAAATAAAAATAACAAAGGGTCAAGAACGTTTTTTAAACCAAAAAAAAATTGGCACATTAAATGCCCTTTCCTTTATTAGGGAGATGTACGTTACCGGAAAACTAAGGTCGTCTTTGAGGAGGATTTTGCGATTTTATTTTGTAAACTGGTGCTATCCTAAGACTTTTTGCCTTTTATCTGAAACTATTTTTTGTAATATTCTTACACTCTCTTATCCACAGATTTCGGATCGATAACACCGATCATATAATCGATGTTAATAAAGGCAATCTTGCATTTGAGTTTGATCAGGTGCATATAATATGCCCAGTATATGAGCCAGGAACTTTTGAAAATGAAACTGAGAAATATATAATTTACAATGTGTCTAAAGTGGAGTATGAAACATGTCGCATAACAAATGCAGATCCGCGAGTAATAGCTATATGTGATAAACCTCAGAAATTAATGTTTTTTACAATAACTTTCCGGCCATTTACACCGCAGCCAGGTGGTTTGGAGTTCCTACCTGGAAATGATTATTACTTCATTTGTGAGTTCGGTTATATTACTGCCATTTAAAGACCATATAAAAATTAGTCTTGTTTATCTATTCTTATTTTAGCAACTTCATCTAAGGATGATTTATATCGGCGAATTGGAGGTCGATGCTCCACAAACAACATGAAAGTAGTGTTCAAAGTGTGTTGTGCCGCCGAGGACAAGAACAAAACCACTGCAATAAGCAAATCTATATCAGGTGCTGACACTGGAGGAACTATAAATGTCAATATAGCAGCTAATGATGATAGTCATGTCCATAGCCAAGGCAATAACATTGCTATTGGAACCAATATTGGTATAAATGGAGGCATAGTTTCCGGAGGACCTCAGTCCGCGGGAATGCCGATCAGTCCAATCAACGGCAATAGCAATATAAATGGCATAGCAACCACTATTAATTCAAACGTTGATCAGTTTAACCGGATACCGATTCAACCAAACATAATCGGTAACAATATAGGGAACAATGCCGTTGGACCTGGAGTTGTTAATGGTGGTGGAATTATATTGACTCCTGGCCATGGTCATGGCAACATTAATATGCTGCAACCAGGTCGCGGCGGAATGAACGTTGCTTATCCAGGACATCACCACATCCAGACTGGGATCAGGATAAACAATGTTCCGACGCAGCATAGCTATCCACCTCACAAGGGTAATGTTAACAGCAACACTAACGGAAATGGTACGTACAAGCCAAAACTTTGAGCATGTTTGCAGAGCAAAGCAAGGCAGAAGGGGTAACTTCGGGAAGCTTGGAATGCACAAACTAATATTGAAACCATTTTATTTAAACCTAAACATTTTTCTTCTGAGTGGCATTGGTAACTGTTTTTGCTTAAGAAAATATATGTTTTCTTATACCCGTTACTCGCAGAGTTCCCCGGCTATCAGATACCCGATACTCGGCTAAAGGGAGTGCAAGGAAGATGGAAAAATTTAACTTTGCGCATAACTTTTTAATATGATCAATTTTGGACGAGTATATGGGTATTGATTACACAGGTATACAGCCAAAAATTTCCACGAACCATTTATAGTTTTCCATGATAATTGAGAAAAGTCCCATACAAATTTATGTCCCATCACCTACAGGTTCCGCGGTATAGCTAAGAATACAAAAAAATCCATGTTTGCCGACATTTCGAATTATGTGGCCTATAGCATTGGACTTATCTTTATTATTTTCGCTAGGGCCTACTCTTAATGCATTACGGCACTACTTAAAAACAGTCCCCATCGTGAACGATTGCCCATGTCTCTGGAACTCGACCCCAAAGTTGAATCAATTTTCACAATTTCTCTAATGGAAAACCAATTCTGAGAATTAAATTTGAAATGGAACTAATTTTATTTATTGTTTTTCATGAGGACATTTTATTGGTTTACTAAACGGATAAAACTGTTTTTTTGTTGTATTAGTATAAGAAAACGCTTTAAACCGAAATCAAAGCATACAATGAATAAAAAAATCATTTAAAATGTAATTCTCAGAGTTGTTTTTTCCTTAGCGAAATTGAGAAAATTTTGGGTTTTTCAACTTTGGCGTCGAGTTTTAAAGCAATGGGCAATGGTTCAATGGACTATTTTTTAAAAATGCCGTGATGTATTGAGAGTAGAGTTCAGTAAAAATAATTAAGGTAAGTCCATTTATATAGGCAACATAATTCGAAATGTCGGCAAACATCGTTTTTTTGTATTCCTAGTTATATCGCGGAACCAGTAGGTGATGTGACATACGTTTGCATGGGACTTTTACTCAGGAGCACCCAATTATCATGGAAAACTAGAAATGGTTCGTGGAAACCAACCCTCAATTACACTTTTAGAAAATCTAGAAAAACGCGGGCGCAAAACCGATTCTAGCGTAAAAGGGTTTTGTGGGCGTAAAAGTGGGCGCAGCACTTGGCTGAAGCAAGCATGGGCTTTATGGGCACTAGTAGAAGCTGTGTGAAACATCTTTACTCTCTAGCAGAGCATGTAAAAACAGTTCATCGTTTTTATACTTGCAGAGGGTATTATGATTTCAGTCAGAAGTTTGCAATGCAGTGAAGGAGACGTTTCCGACCCCATAAAGTATATATATTCTTAATCAGCATCACTAGACGAGTCGATCTAGCCATGTCCGTCTGTCCGTCCGTTTCTACGCAAACTAGTCTCTCAGTTTTTAAGCTATCGGCGTGAAAGTATTGCAGGTAGTATATAAGTCGGAACCGACCGGATCGGACGACTATATCTTATAGCTCCCATAAGAAGGATCGAAAAAAAAAGTTTAAAAAATTCTAGCTTCGGTGTTTTTTGAAATATTACCTTCTACTCTTGGGAATATTATCTTTTAAATATTTCTGAATTTCGAATAAAATTTGTAAAAAATCGGATCACTATATCATATAGCTGCCATAGGAACGGTCGGAAAATTTAATGGAAACTAATAGAAACAAGAGAGAACGCTGTACTCGAGTTGGTGTCCCGGCTATCTAATACTCGAACCTCAGCTAAAGAGAGTGCAAGGGAGATAGATATCTAAATTTTGATTGCGTATAACTTTTTAACGAATGGTATAAATATACACAACAAAATTGCATTTATACTTCTCGGAAATCTTTAAAGATAAGGGCGCAGTACACATTTTAAAATCGTTAGTGGGCGATTGTGGCCGTTAGAGGGGGCGTGGCGCTCGGCTAAAATAAACTTGCGCTGCGTAGGAGGCCCAAGAATATGTGTAGAAAATCTTAACCTTCTAGCATTTGTAGTTTCCGAGATCTCAGCGTTCATTCGAACGGACAGACGGACATGGCTAAAACTATAATACCCTCTGCAAGGGTATTAAAATTATATCTTTGTTGATTTTTATTACAATTTCTTCTTCACTGGGATATAGCATTTCTTTAACATTTCAAAATGTCGAATAAAATTTAACAAAACTCGGACGTCTTTACTATATAGCTTCTATAGGAGGGATCAAAAAAATAATCATCTTCAAGGGTATATAAGCTTCGGCTGGCCGAAGCTACCTTCCTTTCTTGTTTCGTTCGCTGTCTCGGTCTGAACGAAACCGAAAAAAATTTTAAAATTTAGTTTCAGTTCGTTTTGGTTTTCGGTTTACAGTTCTTGACTGAAAATCAATTTTTTCGGTCCTTCAAAAACCGATTTTTGAAATCGGTTTGTATGAAACGGTCCCAAAAAACTGTTAGTAGATGAACAAAACTTTGAAATGCTCAGTAAAAACGGTCTTTCTTGACAGTTCTGCCTTTCCTTTGTAAATGTAAAGTAATATATAGAACATTTATTTGAAAATACATATATGGTAAATAACTTAATTATTAGCACCAGGTGCATTACAATTACTGTTACCATTATCTTCTAAAGAATAGAGCGGGATGCTGTTATACGAGTAAAGACATACAATGGCCATCATCTCCCGAACAATTCGCGGATTTAAGTCTTATAAAATAAAGCCTTTAAGTGATGTTGTTATACGAGTAAATATATACAAAGGCCATCATCTTCTGAAGAACTCGCGGTTTCTAAAGAATACGCTGTTTTCAAGTTTTATGATAAAGCGCCATTGGTGATGCTGTTATACGAGTAAAGATATACAATGGCCAGCATCTCCTGAAGAATTCGCGGATTTAAATCTTGTATCTTATAGCCTCTAAGTGATGGTGTTATAATACATAATGGCCATCATCTTGTGAAGAACTAGCGGTTTTTTATTTTTTAAAAATAATTGAGTACCTTTTACCTTGCATACTATGCAATGCATAGCTACAAGTTTTTATATACCTTTGGAATTATTAAGGTACTTACATAGGTATTAAACATTGCTCTGATTTAAACTAGCCACATCTGACTGCGACACTGAAATAAGCTAAATCCACCACATCTACACGTCATTGTATCGTTTCGTTTCGAAATTGTAATAGTCGGAACGCAGCATTAAAAGTCATTGGAAATTAGCCGTTCTCATGTTTGTTTTGTAAAGTTACCTTTGCATTGCAATTTTCTCAAATGCACAAAACAATTTGACTTTACGCGACAGACATGGCCGAAAAAGAAAATTTAAACGAGAAAGTGTTGCCAACAATATTAAATGGCAAATTTTTTAACCCGGACGGCAAGTGCATGTTGTGTGTTAATAAAACAATAAAATTCGATGATAAATCGACAGGAAATCTGCACACACAGCCTATGCCTTTTTTTATGTGTGAGATATGTACTAGAGGTCTGCATGAATGCATTCAAACTGACAAATGAATCACTCATTCTTAAAACTTGTATAAGTTTTTCTGTATTCATTACTTTAAATATGAGTGAATGCAGTACTTGTGACTGTATTGCCAAATACTATACTCACTTTTCTAGACACAGTACAGTATATTGTGAATACAGTGTTTTTGGTGTACAATAACTCATTGTTCAGTGAATGAAGTTTTCCCAAAATTACAAGGCCTACTGAAGTTATAAAATGTTAAAGCTTGCTTATTTCTTTGTAATATTGTAATCTATCCACTAGCAGAATCACTTAAAACCTAATGAAAGAGACAAAGTGTCGTTAGTCATAAAATATTGACGGGTTTATTAATACATTAATCGCTATCTAAGACATTTTCATTAATGCTGTCTATGTTGGAGTTTAAATACATTATTTTGTTGACCATGTCTTCAGTCGAAGCAATTTTGGAACGCTTTGCGGAAATTGGATTTTTTGCAATTGAAAATGCCCTCTCCGACGGAGCGCTACTTGCTGGGACCGCTAAGATTTGTAGGCCTAGTTTGTATAATAATGGAAATGTTTTCTTATTATTAAATCACCATTACAGGACATTAAAGTCGTCACTGTACGAGATTTTAACGTGTTTATATGTTTCGATTTCATCATTAATTGTATTATGAAGGCTATTGCTTTGGATTGGTTGAGTGTAGTCTTCAAAAACAGGATCGATTTGTGGATTAGATTGAGTTATGGAGTCTTCGTCTTCTGATGGGCTATTGCAATACAAATTTGCACTTTTTTTTACTCAGAGTACAGTACTGTACAATAGTAATTGAGACGACACTCATAGTATTGTTCAGATTGAGAAGCATACACATAGTATTAAAAAAGTGTTGCAACTCTAAAATAGTGTACTCAGTTACTATCGGTAGAGTGGGTACTCTCTACAATATTGTATGAGTACACTAAATGTGAGTACCGTGTACAGCTGTACAGTACTGTAAGTTTTGAAATAAATACATTCATGCAGGCCTCTAATATGTACATTAGGGCGGTCCACATTTGTATGGAAATTTTTAAGGTCCTACTCTCACCCGCTTATACGGTGCGCATTGTGGTATTCAAGGTATACCAAAAGACAATTTAAAAAAAAAATCGTGTTTTAAGGTCTGCGAATTGAGTTCAAAGTTTATCACCCATACGCAGTGTTGCCTTCGATCAAAAAGTTTTTCTGATCAAGGTGGCATAGATATCAACAATTCAGTTGATGTTTTGCTCTCCTTTTTCTATCATTTATTCCAAAGAAATTCATAATTTGACAAGACAAGACATGGGAGAGCGATTTTTTTCGACCAAATTCGAACTGTTATACATGTCGTATGAGTAATTTTAAAGCCAACTTTGAAGACGTTTCGCAAAGCCTAAATCTCGAAAAAAAATTTTTTGTTTTCACATACATTTTTTGCATA